CTGCTGCCGCTTCCTAGGTGGTAAACCCAACTCCTGCAACGGTCCCAAATCGGCCCCTCCTTTAGTCACTACTTGGCATTGTCGTACGATTGTACGATAACACGACATTTACAGCAAGGTTATCCAAGGTCATCTTTGTCATCAGTAGCAGCAGCACCAGTTGTCTTACCTTTAGTGCCACGTCGACGTACGGCACCAGGTCGTCGTCATCTCCGACCTCCTCGCCTCCTCCTCCTTTCCCCACTTTCCCCAGGCCTTTCAAACCCCCCACCGGCTGCCCCACAACCCCCACCGGCCCCAGCAGCCCGCCGCCGCCGGACAGCGTTCGGAGCTGCCGGTCGGCGGCCTGGGCGGCCCGGAGCGCCTGAATCAGGTTTACGGAGGTCCCCGTGATGGCAGTGGCACTAGCAGTCACGGCACCGGTAGCAGGTACAGCAGTAGCAGGTACGGCAGGGGGTCCTACTACAGCCTCTCTACTTGGCCAGAGCTCATCCTCCTCGCCATCACCATCACCATCACCATCACCATCACCATGACCACCATCAAGACGGCCGCCAGTCGCAGCCGCAGCCTCGCCGCCCAAACGGGCTGCCTGGAGGGCCCTATGTTTCCCGGCAGCTGCACCCACGTCGCGAGCTCGCGCTGAGGCACGGCGGGCAGCGCCCTGCAGCTCCCGGGCCCGCTGATTTTCCCTGTCTCTGCTACTGCTGCTACTGCTGCTGCCATCGCGCCTCCGAGGCCAGGTGTCTCCACCGAATGCCGTACCTCTGGATCCCAGATTCTGGTCTCCAGGGTCGCGTTGCTGCTGCGGGTGCTTGGAGGGGCCCTTGCGACCTCGGCGGTCCGCTTGGGTGCAAACGTCGCGCGCAGGCGTGGTGTTGCGGGGATGGAAGAGCCAGCCGCGTTGGTTGGCAGCACAGTGACAGTGGTGTAAGGCTGTGCCGTGAGCGTTGAGGCGCATGGTTGTTGATTGTATAGTTGAGGGGTGGTTGTGGCTAAGGAAAGCTGCAGCGCATGGTCACGATGGAGCCCTAGTCGTTAGCCGTCCAATAAAAGCACCAAAATGTTTTTGCATTCAGCACAAATAAAAAGATCTAAGTAACGCGCCCTTATAGTAGGGTCTTGACTCCTTGAAGCCTAGATCGACGCGTCTGCACGAACGGGGGACGACACCGCGAACGGCACGTTTAAAGAAGCTATCAGTCTGAACCATGTGAGCATATGCTGTTCCGCGTAACTATCGCTATACAGAATGTCGTCATTGAAGACGTGCTTTTCCACTGAGCAAGCATAGGTACAGCAGCATAAGGCGGTAAGAGTCGCAGCAACAGGATGCTGGTAGACCTCGGCAAGCCCTTTGTAATACCAACCAATGGTGTTGCTTTGATTTGCTATACGCATTAATTATAACTTACCACAAATGTAATGGAAAGACGACGCTGCACATGACAAGCCTACCTGTAAGCTGTTGAACCTAAACTGCATTTCGTCCTTAAACGGGCAACACCTCTCAATACATACGCTATGAACTACGGTCAGCTGCTGTGGGATTGCTGGGCTTATGGCTCGTCCTACCTGCCATTGTGCGGTTTAACAAACTGGGCCGCTGCTTTTCTGCCCTCGCTTGGCGGCGGCGAAATTATACCCGTGGGCACCCGGAAATTTCGTGTCATTCAAAAGGTAATCAACGCAGCTCCTCAGCGTCTGTTGCGCGCTCACGCAACGTCGTACAATGCCAACTGCCATCCAGCGCCAGTGAACCCATCCTCTACTCCGCCACTTCTTCTCCATTTCTCCTCACGCACATGCCGTGGTCAATACCAGTCCACAATAATTACTTGTCCTGAAAACATGCAAAACCTTACGGGCCCCGCTCCATTGCCAACCGCTAACATCCCACCGACATCCGCACAGCTCGGCGAGGGCGGTTACGCGGTTGTCTACCTGGTCTCGGAGCTGGCTACAGCGGAGCATCCGCATCCAGATCCGGAGCCGCGGGCTCTTAAGCGGGTATGTGCAGGGCAACTTGCCGTGTAGGGTGGGCGCCAACGTACGGCGGTATCTCGTCAGTTGCACGTTGACTAGGAGTGAGCATTTCACCTCCCCATGCGGCAGAAGGGCCTCTCACCTTTTTGGGAAACCCCCGACCGGGAGCAGCGGACCTCATCCAGCGTCTCCGTACACAGAAAACTGCAGCCGTACACAGAAAATTGCAGCCGTACACAGAAAATTGCAGCCGTACACAGAAAATTGCAGCCGTACACAGAAAGGAAACCCTGCGCTCGGGGGGGTTGGAAGTGCCGCAGGCGCCCAGCTTTCCGGGCTGTGGGGATCGAAATCACGACGGAGTCAAAGATGATGCTTTGCATGTAAAACGGCTTCTTCTGCTACTCTATGGCGGCTTGGGGCTCCAAAACCCCCATCGCTTCACCCCTGCTTCCACCCAAACCTCCCCACCCCTCCCCACCCCTCTCACCTCCCGAATTCCCAGGACGCATCTCTCCCTCCCCCTCCTGACTCCCCCCGAAGCTCCTCACCTCCTGCCGCGCCGTACAAGCACAAACACACGCGGTTTTCCCTCCTCTCCACTTTTGTTCTCCCCTCCCCTGCCCCAATATTCACATACATACATACATACATACATACATACATACATACATACATACATACATACATACATGCATGCATGCATACATACATACATACATACATACATACACACACGCACACGGCGGCCCCCAGGTGTTCATCCATTCCGCCGAGCAGTTCGACGCCGTACAGCAGGAGATGCTCGTCCACTCCGCTGTACAGCACCATCCCAACATCCTACCCCTGCTGGACTACTGCTGCTCCGGAGCGTTACGAACCTCCTCCCCCTCCGCCACCACCGCCGCCACCGCCGCCGGGGACATGATGATTCGGGCGATGCACCTGCCGACATCGTCTTGTTCCTCATCAGTGCAGGCGGTCATTCGCCCACCCGCACCTCTCCCGCCGCCCCTTGCACCAGCAGCGGCGACGGCACCGCAGCCGCTGCAGTACCCCTCAGCCGCCGCCGCCGCTGCTGCTGCTGACGGTCCCGGCGGCAGTGACAGCAACACGGGAGCCATGATTCCGGTTTCCACAGGTGGTGATGGTGGCGCCTACGGAATGGTGTCGGATGCTGGGGGAGGGCAAGGGGGTGGCGATGATGGCGGCGGGGGTGGTGGGGCCGACCAGAGGCGTGTGGCGTGTTTCTTGTTTCCCGTGTTCCGTGAGGGCACTCTGGCTTCGGAGCTGGAGCGACTGGGAGTGGGAGCTGGGGGAGGGGGAGGAGGAAGGGGGCAGCAGCAGCGACCGGGTATGCTGCCGACGGCGGAGGTCCTGTCGCTGTTCGGGCAGCTGGCACGAGCTGTCGCGCACATCCACGCGCAGGGCTACGCACACAGGTGTGTGTGTTTGTGTGTGTGTACGCCTGTATGTATGTATCTGTATGCGTGTATGTGTGTATGTGTATGTGTATGATTGGGCAGGAAGGTTTGAGGCCCCGGGAGGCGGCGGGCAGGCTGGGGCCTGGCAGCAGCAGTAGCAGCAGCAGTAGCAGTGGCAGTAGCAGTGGCAGTAGCAGTGGCAGTGGCAGTAGCAGTGGCAGTAGCAGCAGGGCGACACAGCCAAAGGGGGTGGATGTTTCTGATGGCAACAGACCCCCCTCCCCTCCCGCTTCCTCTCCCCGCCTCTTACCCTGCTGCTGCATCATCCCCCTCCCCCATCCTCCCCACCACAGGGACATCAAGCCCCTCAACGTCCTTATTGCCACCACCACCACCACCACCACCAGCAGCTCGGGCCACCGGGCATTGAAGCACCTCCACCGTGAGGGGGGTCCGGGGAGGCTCTTCCCCACACCGGGGCTGGGGGTGGGGGTGGAGGCGGAAGATGTGGAGGCGGGGGTGGCGCTGGCTGGCAGCGGGGCCGGGGAGGCCTCGGCCGCAGACTGGGGACCGCGGTGAGTTCGCGGAGGATTTAAATTTTGAATTTTTATCGTGATGCAGCCTCACCCTCACCCTCACCCTCACCCCGCAGATATCGGTGTGTGCTAATGGACTTCGGCAGTGCCCGGCCTCGGAGACTTGTAGTGAGCTCTCGGAGTGAGGCGCTGAGGGCGCAGGAGGACGCGGAGGTGAAGGGTGGGGGATAGGGGGTGGGGTGAAGAGTGAGGGATAGGGGGTGGGGGGTAAGACTGGAAGTGAAAGAGCAACGACAGGTGTCCACCCCCACCCCCATGCGGCTGCTGCTCGACCGTCGTCCCACATTCGCTCTGAACGTCCCGCCTCTAACCCCGACCTGCTCCGGAACCGCGGCGGGAAACCCCGCTCTCCTTTCCGCTGTCAACCACCCGGGGCCCCGCCCGTATCGCACACACATGTACATACAGACTTACACACACAGACAGTACTCCCGCGAATACTGCTTCCATGGGTAACGCTAGTCGTGTGCGCCACCCGCCTCGGCATTTCCTGCTCGCGGCCCGTTTATTCATTAACACACACGCACACACACATACACACACATACACACACATACACATACACACACATACACACACATACACACACATACACACACATACACACACATACACACACATACACATACACACATATACACACACATACACACACACGCCATTGGGGCCCATTTTCCCCTTTCCAGTTGCTTTTCTTGATATTGCTACTTGTGGATCTCCTTCCCTGCAGTATCCGTGTCTATCTACCGCGGGTATCTGCTTCAATCGTCATTGGTTCGTCTTCTTAACCCCCCGGCTCCCTCTCAGGCGCACTGCTCCGCCCCCTACCGCGCCCCGGAGCTCTTCGACGTGCCCTCCCCGGCCACCCTGGACCTAGCCGCCGCAGACGTCTGGTCGCTGGGGGCCTCGCTCTTCCACATCATGTACGGCGAGCCGCCCTTCCACCGTGCCATGAACACGGCTGGAGGCAGCTTGGCTCTGGCCGTGATAAAGTGGGTGGGGGGTATGGTGTCGCTGAGGAAGAGAGAGGAGGGGGAGGAGAGAGGGGTGGGAAGGGTGGGCAGATGTTGGTCCCGGGGGCACGAGGCGGAAGGTGGGAGAAGCCGCAGAAGGAGGTTGGGGGCGCCACTGCGACTGGCATTAATGACCCCGCCGTGAAGCGCTGTGTGCCGGTGCCCCGCCTGCTGGCCCGGGGATTGCGACCGTCACTCGCCCCTACCTCTCCCCG